ACGGGCGGATCACAAGGTCAGGAGATCGAGACCATCCTGGCTAACACGGTGAAACCCCGTCTCTACTAAAAAAATACAAAAAACTAGCCGGGCGAGGCGGCGGGCGCCTGTAGTCCCAGCTACTCGGGAGGCTGAGGCAGGAGAATGGCGTGAACCCGGGAGGCGGAGCTTGCAGTGAGCTGAGATCCAGCCACTGCACTCCAGCCTGGGCGACAGAGTGAGACTCTATCTCAAAAAAAAAAAAAAAAAGAATTGCAAAATCTCCATCTCTGCTAAGGGACCCCTACCAAAGGAAGCCAACTTCATGCAACTGCCCAGGTTTTGGTGTCAAGAGCTGATTCCTAGCCAGGGGTTGCCAGCTGTAGAGGGCGGGGCTCTATTTTGGGCTGCCTGCTGTCCCTGAGCCTGGCCGCGTCTGGTTTGAGCAGCATGCAGCCCCAGTGACTCACACACCCATGCAAACCGCCTGTGGCTCAGTGGCATGGCCTTGGAATGCCAGCCTTAGGCCAGCTCCCTCCTCACCCCATTACACTGGGATAAATAAATAAAGAGCCCGCCAGCAGCCACACAGCCTGATGGCAACCAGATGGAGAGAGCGAGGCATGGACAGGGCCAGGGGAAGGAACTCCCTCCAGTGGACTAGACTGAGAGTGGGCTCTGCCCAGTCATCCTAAACTTCCTTTTTCATACAGTTCCTACTGCCATGTAACAACAGTCCCTAAGTCCCTGACTCTTCTTTCACTCCTAAAGATGCCTCTCAACTCCCAGTCCTATAAAATGCCCTATATAGGGTTCTTGGCCTCCATGAAGATCATGCCAACAGGCACACTACCCAGCCTTGACTTGAGTCAACATTGTCAGTATTCCCCCTCTAGTTAGGCCACTATCAATTAGCTCCTTGGGTTCCCCAGAATTGAGAAATCAGAGGCTCTTAGAGAAAGTGGAAAAACAAAAGGACCAAATAGGGAGAAGTAACCCCTGCTCAATTCTTATTTTCCCGAGCCTCAGTATCCTAGCAACCTGCCTGGCCTACTGCCCCCTGTGCCTTATTGTCTATAGCCTCTTGCCTAGTAATAATCCCAATGAGAATTTTAAAAACTGACCCCAGGCAATGACCGCATGGCCCTCTGACACCAGCCCTGGCCCCCCTGTGCCTTCATCCCGAGCTCTCTCCCTGGTTTGTTTATCTTCCTATTCCATGTTGCTTATTTTGATGGCACATCCTTTCAGTTCAGTCTTGGGTGACCCCATGACCCTTCTGTGTCCTGTTTGTAGGACCCCGGGCAAGCAGAGTAACTAAAAAGATGCAGCAGTCATAAGTTCTACAGCCCCAGTAGGAAACCTTTCAGTTCTAGCAGCTATACAGGACATTCTGAGGACAGTGCAATGACCCCAGAGGTCACAAGAATTCCATATTATCCTAGCCCTTATATCTCTCCTAACTGGTGTGTACAACCAGTTAAAGTAGCAAAACAAAACAGAGATAATCCTAGACTATGTGTCAAGAAATGTGGGAAGTCCTAAACATAAAGCTACAGCTATATGACCTTAGGCAAGTCACTTAACCTCTCTGAGGCTCAACTTCTTCATCTATAAAATAGAAAGCTATAACTACAACTACCTATCTCTCACTTCCTTTCCAGATAAAATAAAATTCTATAAGTCTATGAGATTGATCCACCTAGAACCTACGGGACCAGTATTCTTGAAGTAGCTGGTTCCAAAACACTAATACTCTTCCTGTGCTGCCACCTAAATTCTATATGCCTTCTCATTCAATTCTGCAGGGCTCCTCCCAACCTATAGTATGAAAACGATAAGCCTCTAATTTTACAAATGAGAAGTGATTTATCCAAAGCTGCAAAATGAGCCATGAGAATAACTGAAGGCCCCAAATACAGGTCTAATAAGCAACACTGAGCCAGGTGCAGTGGCTAATTACACGCCTGTAATCTCAGCACTTTGGGAGGCCAAGGTGGATGGACTGCATGAGGCCAGGCATTCAAAACCAGCCTGGCCAACATGGTGAAACCCTACCTCTACTAAAAATACAAAAATTAGCAGGGCGTGGTGGGGCACACCTGTAATCCCAGCTACTCAGGAGGCTGAGGCACAAGAATCTCTTGAACCCGGGAGGCAGAGGTTGCAGTGAACTGAGATCACCCCACTGCACTCCAGCCAAAAAAAAGTAACATTGTATCCACAGGCCACACTGTCATAATTTTTATAAAATTCCCCTAGCTTAGACTTCTCAAAATATTAACCCAAACTTATCAAAGACTTACTACCTGTGGCACCATGCACAGTGCTGGGGATATAGAAACGCATTCAGCATGGTCCTTGCCTCAGACAGTCCACAGATCAGTGGAGGAGAAAGCCATAGCCTTGCAAATGTACAAACAGTAATATTACAATGTTATAAGAGGTAAAACAGAGGTATAATCCAAGGTACTATAGCAGCAGGGAAGAAGAATAGTCCTTACAAGCAGAGTACAGAAAGGTCTCCCAAACAATGTGAAGCTGACATCTAGAAGATTAATTGAAGTTTACAAGTTAGGGCCAGGCACGGTGGCTCATGACTTTAATCCCAGCACTTTGGGAGGCCGAGGTGGGCAGATCACAAGGTCAGGAGATTGAGACCACAGTGAAACCCCGTCTCTACTAAAAATACAAAAAATTAGCCGGGCATGGTGGCTGGCGCCTGTAGTCCCAGCTACTCGGGAGGCTGAGGCAGGAGAATGGCGTGAACCCGGAAGGCAGAGCTTACAGTGAGCCGAGATCACGCCACTGCACTCCAGCCTGGGCAACAGAGTGAGACTCCGTCTCAAAAAAAAAAAAAAAAAAGAAGTTTACAAGTTAGATAAGGCCAGAACATTGGGCATTCTAGATCATGGGAAGAATGTGTACCTAAAGATAAGATAAAACAGCATTTGGGGAAATTAAAAGTCATTCCATATAGCTAAGGCATAAAGTACATAGAGAAAAATGTTAAGAAGTCAAGCTGGGTAGGTATGCAGGCACTAGATCAGGAAGAGACCTCTCTACTGAGCTAAGAACAAGCCTTGCGGTGCTTAACTAAGGGGATGAGGCAGGGAACCAGTATGTTATCCCCAGCCTTAATACCTAAACTTATAGACAGGGGAAGCTATCTAAGAGAAAAACGGCCTAAGAAATCTCTCTCAGTCACAAGTTTAGGTTTAATGGTCTCTCTTTACCCATAAAAACTTGAAACCTTTTCTAGGCTGGGCATGGTGGCTCACATCTATAATCCCAGCATTTTGGGAGGTCAAGGAGGGTGGATCACTTGAGGCCAGAAGTTCAAGACCAGCCTGATCAACATAGTGAAATCCTGTTTCTACTAAAAATACAAAAATTAGTTGGGTGTGGTGGTGCGTGCCTGTAATCCCAGCTACTTGGGACGCTGAGGCAGAAGAATTGCTTGAACCCAGGAGAGGGAGGTTGCAGTGAGCCAAGATTGTGCCATGGTACTCCAGTGTGGGTGACAGAGCAAGTGAGACTCTATTTCAAAAGAAACAAAACAAAACAACAAAAACAACAACAACAACAAAAAGACTTGAAAACTTTTCTGTTTCAGGACTTAGCAATACAAGTTTTCCTTCTTCTCCAGACTTACAATTGCTTCAGTACCTGGACTGAGCACCTATCTCACATTTTTTGCATTTAGTGTTTAGACCCCAAGCATTGTAGCTCAGTCAATGTGCAGAGGCAGAACGGGAGGTTCCAAATAAAGAATACTTGCTTTATGCCTAGCCCTTTAAAAAGTGCTAATTTAGGTTTCAAAAGAGGTATGGGACAGAGACCCTGTCCACAAAGAGCTTACAAATTAATCCAGAAGACAATGCAGAAATATAAATAATCTATATATAACACCAGATTACAATAGCATTATTTACTTACATGATAAAGTACCAACTTGGGTAATATATATAATTAGAAAATGGGGCAATAGGCTGCGCACAGTGGCTCACACTTGTAATCCCAGCACTTTGGGAGGCCAAGGCAGGTGGTCACCTGAGGTCAGGAGTTCCAGATCAGCCTGACCAACATGGAGAAATCCCATCTCTACTAAAATACAAAATTAGCTGGGCGTGGTGGCACACACCTGTAATCCCAGCTACTCAGGAGGTTGAGGCAGGAAAATTGCTTGAACCTGGGAGGCGGAGGTTGTGGTGAGCCGAGATCGCACATTGCACTCCAGCCTGGGCAATAAGAGCGAAACTCCACCTCAAAAAAAAAAAAAAGAAAAGAAAAAGAAAAAAGAAAATGGGGCAATAATACTAAGGTACTAACTGTATAACCAACAAGTCACAGAAGAGTGAGGGAAGAAGATCAATACTGACTGGCATAATCAAAGGTCACTATTATTAATACTTTCCCTATTTGGCATTTAATAGATGTTTCTTTTGGCTGAGCTCAATCCTTAGAAGGGAAACCTAGGCAGGAGCTTCTGACAGGCCACAATTATCTACTCCCCATTCATTCCTTTGCCAGTCCCCTTGTATAAACACTGTGATTTTCCACAACCTACTGTGCCCACAAGACAGCTCCCAAATGGTAGCCCTAAGCTTTTTACCTTCGTCTCCTGCTGGATCCTGAAAGGGCCTAGACAAGTAATGACGCCTACCCTTCTGCTCTACAGTCCAGACCTTATGACCAGATATCAACAAGCAAAAATTTAACAACTGGTCAACCAACCTTTCCAAGGTTAGAGAATTCCAAATGAAATCCCTGGTACTTTAACAGAGATGTTTTATAAGTATCAATCAGCCCACTTTCGCCTCCTCCGTTCTTTCCCCCTTCTTCCCCTCATCCTCCCTAAGTACATCTCAAGCCTTATCAGACTTTCTATGGGCAACTTTTTTGGACAAAGGGCATTCCAACCACACAAGCCACCTAATACCCAAAACACAAGTGGTCACTCGGGCACCTGGAAAGAGGAAGTAGGGCAAAGACACACAAGAAAATAACAAATACCTTACCTCTATCATAAATTGTTCCAAGAAGGAATTTTCTTCAAATGGTTCTGTCTTCAATCGATCTGTAATAAGAAGGAACAAAGAAAAGAAACATGAGTCATATAGGATAAGCTTCTTACCTGATAGAAAGGGAACAAAACAGGGTTACTTAGGAAAGAGGAGGAAGGTGCATCATGCAGAGACACCTAGTTCAGTGGGAGAAGAAGGGCTGAGAGCATGTGGGCAAACAGTAGTGGGAGAGGGTGATTAGCAACAAATGGCAGGTTTGGTGGTAGCATCTGCTCTAGGAGTTTTTCCTGCCACAAAAACAAAGGCCAAATTGAATTTTTATTCTGAAGTTGGAGCCATGAAACTTCCTAAACTCCCAAGTCCATGTTGCTCTGGTATAATTCTGTATAGTTATTGGCTCCTTTCCAAAGTCTTTCCCCGCCATTGCCTAGGGCATGTCTGGACTCAGTTACAGCTTCTATTGGCCACTTGGGCTCCAGTCAGGTATTCGAGGCAGAGAAAAGTGTCACCCAGGCCAGGCACAGTGGCTCACGCCTATAATCCCAGCACTTTGGGAGGCCAAGGCAGGCAGATCACTTGAGGTCAGGAGTTCGAGACCAGCCTGACCAACATGGTGAAACCCTATCTCTATTAAAAACACAAAAAAATTAGCCACGCATGGTGGCGTGCATCCACAATCCCAGCTACTTGAGAGGCTGAGGCAGAAGAATCCTTGAGCCTAGGAGGCGGAGGTTGCAATGAGCTGAGATCACCCACCACACTCCAGCCAAGTTGACAGAGTGAGAGTCCATCTCCAAAACAAACAAACAAAAAAGAGTCACCTAGTATCATTACTCCAGTTTCTGATTAGTATTCAGCAGGCATCCTGGGGGAAGCACCTCTCTAATGCAAATGAGTCTCCCTCTTTCCTAAGACTCTTTGACTATCTATACCACTCCCCACCCGACTCCTCCAAGAATGTCCTCTCACCTCGAATCAGCGTAGCCCCACTCTCCTGGTAGTCTTGGATCTCTAGGTCTTTCATATGAAGCAATGTTGCTAGCTCCCTCACTTGGCACTGTAACGCCAGACTCATGCCCATCAGAGGACGAATCAAATGTTGGGAGACCTTTGATGGAAGAGATATCCATTAGCCAAAAGACTCTTATAAAGTACTCTCCAATTCGGTTTAGGTACTAGAAAAAATACTGAAAATAAATGTTCTTATAGAAACTTACAGTTTCATAGGCAAGTAACCCATTTACATGAATGTAAACATACATACAATAATTACATATATTAAGAAGGTGGCTGATGCAGTGGCTAATGTCTGTAATCCCAACACTTTGGGAGGCCAGGGCGGGTGGGTCACTTGAGGTCAGGAGTTTGAGACAAGCATGGCCAACATGGTCAAACCCCACCTCTACTAAAAATACAAAAATTAACTGGGCTTGGTGGCAGGTGTTTGTAATCCCAGCCACTTGAGAGGCTGAGGCATGAGAATCATTTGAACTCAGGAGGCAGAGGTTGCAGTGAGCCAAGATTGCACCACTGCATTCTAGTCTGGGAGACAGAGTGAGACTTTCTCAAAAAAAAGATCCCACCAGCTGAGATGGCTCATGCCTATAATCCTAGCACTCTGGGAGGCCAAGGTAGGAATTCACTTGAGTCCAGGAGTTCAAGAGCAGCCTGAGAAACATAGTAAGACCCCATCTCTACCAAAAAAGAATTTTTAACATTAGCCAGTCATGGTAGAATGCATCTATAATCCCAACTACTCAGGAGGCTGAGGTGGAAGGATCACTTGAGCCGAGGAGGTCAAGGCTGCAGTGAGCTGTGATCACGCCACTGTATTCCAGCCTGGGCAACAGAGCAAGACTGCATCTCAAAACAACAACAAGAAAACAAACAAACAAACAAGAAAAGCAGAAGATCCAAGTAGCCCTCAAGAAAGGAAGTGTGGCAAAAACAGAGTACACTAGCTAAAGCGTTAACAGAAGACAAAAATCAACAGAAGGTAAAGACCCTTGAAAGTCAAATTAGATACAGACACTAAGAGCCACTTCAGGGCTCATGATAGCCCAGAAGGAGCCTGGAGTTTCAGTCTGTTCCCACAAATGCAGTGTAGTCTAAGGTTATTGTTAAAATAGAAGCAAGCCACCTACCAAGAACTAGCCTAGGAAGGTATAAGCCAACCCACTCTACACACAACCCTTTTTTTTTTTTTTTTTGAGAAGGAGTTTCGCTCATGTTGCCCAGGCTAGAATGCAGTAGCACAATCTCAACTCACTGCAACCTCCACCTCTCAGGTTCAAGCGATTCTCCTGCCTCAGCCTCCTGAGTAGCTGGGATTACAGGCACGCACCACAACGTCCGGCTAATTTTTGTATTTTTAGTAGAGACGGGGTTTCACCATGTTGGTCAGGCTGGTCTCGAACTCCTGACCTCAGGTGATCTGTCTGCCTCAGCCTCCCAAACTGCTGGGATTACAAGTGTGAGTCACTGTGCCCAGCCCACACCCCCCATTTTTTTTTTTTTTTTTTTTTTTTTGAGACGGAGTCTCGCTCTGTCACCCAGGCTGGAGTGCAGTGGCGCAATCCCGGCTCACTGCAAGCTCCGCCTCCCGGGTTCACACCATTCTCCGGCCTCAGCCTCCCGAGTAGCTGGGACTACAGGCGCCCGCCACTGCGCCCGGCTCATTTTTTTCTATTTTTAGTAGAGACGGGGTTTCACCATGGTCTCGATCTCCTGACCTTGTGATCCGCCCGCCTCGGCCTTCCAAAGTGCTGGGATTACAGGCGTGAGCCACCGCGCCCGGCCAACACCCCCCATTTTTAACAAGAGGTAAGAAGAATGCAAACACAGCCATAATGCTGTACAAATAGGGTAATATTCTCATATGATAAGGTATAGCTAAATAGAATAATCATTTAATTCACCTACACAAGGTGTCCATTAACCTGTCAAGAAAAAATAGCTAGGCCGGCACAGTGGCTCATGCCTGTAATCTCAGCATTTTGGGAGGCCAAGGTGGGAGGATTGCTTGAGTCCAGGAGTTCGAGTCCAGCCTGGGCGACGTGATGAAACCTAGTCTCTACAAAAATTACAAAAATTAGCCAGGCGTGGTGGCACATGCCTGTAATCACAGCACTTTGAGAGGCCGGGGTGGGAGGATCATGAGGTCAGGAGATGGAGACCATCCTGGTTAACACAGTGAAACCCCGTCTCTAATAAAAATACAAAAAAATTAGCTGGGTGTGGTGGCGGGCGCCTGTAGTCCCAGCTACTCAGGAGGCTGAGGCAGGAGAATGGCATGAACCTGGAAGGCAGAGCTCGCAGTGAGCTGAGATCGCGCCACTGCACTCCAGCCTGGGTGACGCAGCAAGATTCCATAAAAAAAAAAAAAAAAAGGCCAGATAGTCGATATTTTTCCCTTTGTGGCCTATCCAGTCCCTGTTGCAACTGCTTGACTCTCCTGTTGTAGCACAAAAGCAGCCACAGACAATATGTAAACAAATCAGGTGGCTGTGTTCCAATAGAGCTTTACAAAAACAGGCAGAAAGCCAGAACTGGCCCATGGCCATAGTATGCCAACCCCTGTCCTAGACCTGAAAAAGGAGTACTTTTAGACAAGATACCCCAACAGGCTTGAAACAAGGAAAAGGTACTACAGTGTCCCATAATATGTGCAAGCCAGACTCACCTGGATCCAGATCAGACGTCTGGCCTCTTTCAGACCTTTATGTTTTCATTTTCCATTCATTTTCTAGGTAAAAGTTACTACTAAAAGTTCTAATTGTGCTTTGGCTCAAATTAAGAGGAAAAGACTTTTTTCCACATTTCTGTTAGATTAGAAGAGAAAAGACTGGATGTGGGGAGGTGGAAAGAAAGGAAGTTAGTGGCAGCAGCTTTTGTACCAAAACCAAAAACCAAGAAATGGAAGGGTTCTGGCACAGAGGGGAGAGCCAGAAATAAAGTCCAGCTATAGATACTAGACTCTTCCTTCTACCACATAGCACATCCCAACCTGGCACTGACCCCCAGTTGAGGTCCTTAGCAAAAACTTAACCCTCTAGGAAGTACTGTTCAGAATGTGGCAGAAGTTCAGCTTTGGAAAAATGTATCTGCTCTACACTCAATCTTCTTTCCTAGGAATTGTTTTGTTAAATTTGGTCCTGCTGGGCGGGCATGGTGGCTCACACCTGTAATCCCAGCACTTTGGGAGGCCGAGGCAGGCGGATCGCTTGAGCTTAGGAGTTTGAGACCAGCCTGGGCAACATGGTGAAACCCCATGTCTACTAAAAATACAAAAAAATTAGCCAGGTGTGGTGAGGCGTGCCTGTATTTTCAGCTACTTGGGAGACTGAGGTGGGAGAACTGCTTGAGCCCAGGAGGTGGAGGTTGCAGTGAGCCGAGATCACACCACTGCACTCCAGCCTGGGTGACAGAGTGAGACCTTATCTCAAAAAAAAAAAAAAAAAAAAAAAGTTTGGTACTGTTTAAGTAGATCAGGAGGAAAACAGGCAAATACTTGTATAAATGACAGTGAATATTTGATGACTTGAATTGAAATAATTGTCATTACTACGCAAGCAGCAACACCATCCAACTGGTGGCAGCACTGAAACAACAGAAACTCCTAAATTAATAACCAGCTTCCCTCTGGATAGCTACCTCAATAGCAATTTCTTTGAGTGACAGTAAATATTATATAACAACATGAAACATGACAAGGAACAGATTTTAATTAATATCATGTCTAATTAAATATGATAATGCCATACCAGGCAACTGAAATTATCTGTCAGACCCCAACGTCTATTTGGTTTTAAAAAAGTTTTTTATCAGTAAATACTGTAACTGCTAAAATAATTTCATAGGATTGGGTTACATCATTCTGAATTATTGAGGTATAATTCATTTCAAAGTTAGAGGAACACTAAAATGATTTCCCTTAGACCAGATAGCCTTAACTTAATGATCAGTAGAAATTTTGAAAATATGTGTTAATGGGCATATGAGAGACTAGATAAAATGTGTAAAAAATCCCAGCACTTTGGGAGGCTGAGGTGGGCAGATCACTTGAAGCCAGGAATGAGAGATCAGCCTGACCAACATGGTGAAACCTGTCTCTACTAAAAATACAAAAAATTAGCCAGTCGCCGGGTGTGGTGGCTCAAGCCTGTAATCCCAGCACTTTGGGAGGCCGAGACGGGCGGATCACGAGGTCAGGAGATAGAGACAATCCTGGCTAACACGGTGAAAACCCATCTCTACTAAAAAAGACAAAAAACTAGCCGGGCGAGGTGGAGGGCGCCTGTAGTCCCAGCTACTGGGGAGGCTGAGGCAGGAGAATGGCGTGAACCCGGGAGGCGGAGCTTGCAGTGAGCTGAGATCCGGCCACTGCACTCCAGCCTGGGGGACAGAGCGAGACTCCGTCTCAAAAAAAAAAAAAAAAAAAATTAGCCAGACATGGTGGCACGCACCTATAGTCCCAGCTACTCGGGAGGCTGAGGCACAAGAATCACTTGCACCTGAGAAGCAGAGGCTGCAGTGAGCCAAGATCATGCCACCGCACTCCAGCTTGGGTGACAGAGAGAGACTTCATCTCAAATAACAATAATAATAATAATAATAATAATGTATAAATAGTTCAAAGCAAATCCACAGACACTATAAGGAAAAATCTTGAAGTGCTTTAGGATGTCAAGGACACTCCCCGTAATTGATAGACAGCAATATATGAAGATATACAGTTCATCAGTCAATTCAACAGGTATCTACTGGGTTCCTAATATGTACTCTGACCCTATGAGGCCTCTGCCATCAAAGAGCTCACAACAGTTAAGGAGGTTAGGAAGTGTAATAGATATAAAAATAGGAGTTGCTAATCTTTTTCAGAGGAAAAGCTATACATAATTTTCTCCAAAGTCTTCAGATTTTCCATAGAAGTGTTCATAAGTCATGAGCAGGGGAGCAGAATGATAGGTCTCCATCTCAAGATGAATCAAGCTGGATGTGGTGGTACACATCTGTAATCCCAGCTACTCTGCAGGTTAAAGAGGGAGAATCATTTAAGCCCAGGAGTTCAAGACCAGCCTGGGCAACATAGTAAGACTCCCATCTCAT